TATTTCACTGAAGATCTATTATGATTACCTAATAATTATTTGTCTTGCAGATAATCAGTATTCAGCATTATAATATCTTTCAAGTAATAAACTTAATATTTGTGAATAATTGATAAACTCATCTTACATCATCTATAGATCTTTCAATATGTTACAATGAACTTTACTGAAAAATCAATGCTTGTGTAAATGAAGATTTCCAGTGTAAAACAATTCTACAAAGTACATCGACCTCTGATTCCTTACTATGAATATTTATATATAAATTTTCTTTTCTTCATCCTAACTTGGAGTAAAAAATTGTTTATGTCCTTTAATTTCAACATATTTGTTAATTTATCTGCTACATTTTTTGGTCTAAGCATAATACGAGGCAGCTGCTTGCTCTAGGTATTACTAAAATGGGAAGAATTTCATTTCTATTGTTTTAATGTGTGCCATCATACTTTTGAGACAAACAAATTTGTGATAAATAAAAAATAACAAAAACCAGAAAGAAATTTTATCTCCACAATGCTGTTAAATTTTTCAGGGCTATAGCATAGACTGAAATCTAAACTTCACTATTTCTGATCCCTCTGGGAGCATATCAAAATATAGTAAAAGAAGTACCAGCTATACATATGGGTATTTAATTATTCACGTTGATTGTGTATACATCTAAATAATGTGCAAGCATATAGTACAGATCTGAAGTTCATGTACTTTATGAATTGACAAATGGTCAAGGCATGATAAGTTGCCTTCATCTTGTTACAATATCAACATAATTTTGAGCTGATTTCAGATTTTCAGAGTCATTTATACATGACCAAATTTGAACCTGCATCATACCTTTACAAGGATGCATATAAAGAAAGCCTGGAAACATACATAAACACTGCATTAATTTTCCTTTTCTCTGCAAATGAGAGATAGAACTCAATTTCTATTCTACAGAAAAAATATTATATGAATTTGCCAACCTTCAGAATGGTTTTCTGTCTAACATAATAGCACCAATATATTAAAACTACACTGGTAGGTGGGTTACATGATAATGATTCTAAATATAATTAAATAGCCTGATAATGCTTAAATGTTAGTTCCATTATTGTAAAGGAACACATTTGTTGTACATTCAATAATTCTGAGGCTTTCCGTGACATCCTGAATAACATACCGGTACTTGCCCAACAAAACAATATTTCCTTATATGAACTATGCAGATATGTATTTAAATTAAAATGAATGGGGGTTCTGAATAGTCTACAGTTCATATTAAAATGCCTCATTTAAAAAAAGATATTGTTTTAGGTAGTATGGGAGTATAAAAGATCTTGAATTGGAAATGATTGATGTTTTTGATTTTTTTTACAAATACATATTTTTTGGTTGTATCAAAATGTTTAAATCTTTGCTTTATAACATGTATAAGGGGAGATCTCAGATAATTTAGGTATACATGTATATAAGAAAATATACTGTTTATTCATTTATTTTGTATTGTAGCAAGCAAAGGATTAGGGTGACTTTATTTGTTTAATTTTATTTCATACATCTTATTATAAGAGCTTTTTTGTAATGTTTTATTACAATTTCCTTTTATTAAGTCCAATAAGACAATTTTGCACAGCTTGTAACTTAAAAAGATCTTAAAAGCAAAATTATTACCAAATTTTCGAAAAGCAAAATAAAAAATTTGCCAAGGTACATGTTAACACTCCCATACTAATTTTAATATCATCAAAGACCATTTTACTGCAGAATGTGAACACTGAAATCAGTATCATACCTTTAAAGCATTGCTAACACTATGTTATACTTTGTCTGCCCAGAAAACTACATTGGTATTGGCATTATATAAATAAAATGCAAAAATAAAAAAATATGGAATAATGACTTTTCATTAGTTCTTAACTGTCTATTTGATCATTGAAAAATTTTGACTGGTGGTATACTAAATTAAAGAAAATTATTCTTGGAAAGTTACCTCCCTTTAGCAATGAAACCATCCCATCCCCCTCTCCACAATATATCAATTATGTTCATCTCCACTGAAAATAAATTAACTTGATTAAAGTATGAATTTAATACTGTAAATTCAGAAATTATTGCGATGCTTTTATTATTGCGAAAAATGCGACAGGGTTGTAATCGCAATAATTTAAACTCGCATTTTGAAATTTTGTATATGAATTAAACAGGATTTTTCTCAATATCGCAAAAATTAAAATCGCATTTTATTCTAAAATGACAAAATCGCAATAATAAATGCACGCAATAATTTCTGAATTTACAGTAGTATTAAAGAGTGGGTAGTAAATAATCATCCTTTTTTTTACCCCAGGAAACAAGTTGCTTCACTGATTAGGAAGAAAAGCTCTGCATGACAATAACAAAGTTAATAGGTTGCATGTTAATATACATACAATAGCACTTCTTATAGTATTCAACATGCAAAAATGGACCAAACTCATTCTTATAGCTTGTTTAGCATGTGCATTTACCAGGCTATTCCCGCCATAAAATAAATTAAATGAACAACTACAACAATTTAAATAGATTATCATCTGAACTGGTAGACTGGTATACTGTGGTCAGGAACATGAGTTAAATTCAGGGACTGGAACCTAAAAACAAAATATATATTGATCATACCTTTACTTATTGAATGTATAATATTCAGAAACTAGGGTTATTCATTGGCTGAAAACAGAATTATACTTCATTGTGTATTTACATGCTGATGAATCAAATGTTTAACATCCAGTGGGTAATCATTCAATCATTAAGGACAAGCACATGTTGATGTAATATGAACATGAATCCTGCTCTGTACCAAATAACATGCAAAGTGGAAAGAGTAATGTGCTACTGCACAAGATGGTGGTCAACAAGACAGATCTTTTTCTAACCCAGAGTCCCAGACACATTATTCTGACTTAAGGCCAACCAGTCTTCATTGTTATTTCCAAACACAGCATGCTTTGTAACCTTGTCCTTGGTGGAAAAGCAGCAAGTACCAATTTTAAAGTCATTAATTTATATGGCCAGGTCTTGAACATACAACCATTCACATGATTGTATGATATTTAAGAAGAAAAATACCTTCAACTAGAAGCTCCAATGAGCCTATTTCTCTCACCTCACATTTTTGCATAAAATTTGTGCCTTGCCAATGATTTTTACTGCACAGAGTTTCTTTCTTTCCATTATACATGTAGTTTTCAAGATTGTTGATAAAAATGAAAATACTTGATTCATATGTGATTTAAAGGCTACAAATCCTGAAAGGAGTCAATGTTTTATTTGTAGATCTTGTGGGCTAAATGCAGTTGGATATTTTGATTTATTGTATTGTTAGTTAAGCTCTTTACTTTATCACAAAAATGTGATTGTATGCATGAATCCTTAATGGTAAACCTTTAACACAACTGATGGTACTCTACGGACCTCAAGATTTCATAACAACTAATTTTCATATATTACATTCAAATATTTTCTCTTATGGTGGAAAAAAATTGAAAAATTTCTTGAGACTGCATTGGATCATCTCTTAAGATAGTTTATAAAAAAATCCTGGTATTCAAATTCAAATCTTTATGCCAAAACTTTACATTTGCATGTTTACAACTAACAAACATAAAATTCTCAATGAACTACAATCTTTTATCTATCTGCTTGTTTCCATATTTGCCTAATGTTCAGTAGATTTTAAATAAGTGTGTTCTTCTCCCTATTCAACTCAGGTACTTTTACTTCACATCACAAAATTGACAATTATATAAAACAATGCCACCTGGAACTCATTCAATCAAATTTATTTCCAATGAAGTGCATCTTTTTGTAATTTGTTCGTACTGTTAAAAGAATACTTACCATTCAGAACTTCTGTGATAGTAGTACCCTTCAATGGATGCCAGAGATTTTTGGAAACATATATAATAAAATCCAGCAAAAGATGCTCCAGTTATGTCTTTTACAGTGTGGTCTGGAACCAAAAAATGCTCCTTAAATGATAATACAAAAATCATGAATGAAACCCTGCCATTTTTCAATCAAGTTATAAATAAAATATATGTGTCCTTTTTTGTTTTTTCACAATGCAAACCATTATTACTGTCTCTTTACAATTTTTCACAGTTTTCAAAAATACTATTTAACTGTATCTCAGTAAAACAATTGAAATTTGTTTCTTTTTACATTTTTTGTGATAAGTTTTCTGATTCAGAACAAAACATATGTTATACTCAGGAGTCAAGCTCAGGCGATTGGGGCGAAGAAGTCCCTTTCCTGTTGGTCACTTCACTTTGCCCCATCGTCAAAAGCGATTTCTTGTCACCCCAGGTGTTCACAATAGTCACTTTCGTCATCGGCAATTTTCCATTTTTACCAAGTTTATGAAACAACAATTTTTCATTAATAAGTAAAGAAATTCAAAGACATAACAATTTAATTCTTTAGAAAAGAGGTTAAAGCATTGACTTTACAGATTGTTCACAATAGTCACTTTCGTCATCGGCAATTTTCCATTTTTACCAAGTTTATGAAACAACAATTTTTCATTAATAAGTAAAGAAATTCAAAGACATAACAATTTAATTCTTTAGAAAAGAGGTTAAAGCATTGACTTTACAGATTGGTTGTATGTTATTTCAAACAAACAACTTTTTAAATTGTATTTCCTTTCATCTCTGGTACTTGAGCTTATATCAAAACTTTCTGATTTTCGGCAAAGTAAGTTTGTCACTTCATTAAAACGTGATGAAAATTGCCTTTAGTTGATGTTTTATCTATTTATTGCTTTAAAAGCATCATATTCCTATCGAAATCGCTTGTGAAACATTGTTTAATTTTGTAAATTTTTCTTCATCCGCCATTGAAATATTTGTGTGAACCATGGATCGGAGGAAGTATTCATCAGAAGCAGATCATCCATGACCAAAATCTGTATTCTTACAATAATAACTACAGACTCACAACAGGCATAGCTGACAGTAGAATAACGATCCCAAATGAATACAAGAGTGGACACGCTGAAATGTCTCGCCTTCTTTACTAACCATTGATATTATGTTGATAGTCCTAAATGAAAGCTTTACTACAACTATTACATAAACTTAACATGATCCAAGAAAATGAAGTCAAGGTCATATAAACCAAACAAGAAATACATGTACACCTTACAATCATTCAATACACTAAATATAGTTGACCTATTGCTTATAGTTTCTAAGAAATAGACTTAACCAAGAAAACTAAACATTGACCAATGAATCGTGAAAATGAGGTCAAAGTCAGATGAACCATGCCAGGCAGACATGAACAGCTTACAATCCTTCCATACAACAAATATAGCTGACCTATTGCTTATAGTTTAAGAAAAACAGACTGAAACACATAAACTTAACACTGAGCAATGAACTGTGAAAATGAGGTCAAGGTCAAATAAAACCTGCGAGACTGACATGTACATCATAGAATATTTCCATACACCAAATATAGTTGACTTATTGCATAATAGTATAAGAAAAAAGACCAAAACTCAAAAACTTAACTTTGACCACTGAACCATGAAAATGAGGTCAAAGTCAGATGACACCTGCCAGTTGAACATGTACACCTTACAATCATTCCATACACCAAATATAGTAGACCTATTGGATAAAGTATAAGAAAAACTGACCAAAACACAAAAACTTAACTATAACCACTGAACCATGAAAATGAGGTCAAGGTCAGATGACACCTGCCAGTTGGACATGTACACCTTACAATCATTCCATACACCAAATATAGTAGACCTATTGGATAAAGTATAAGAAAAACGGACCAAAACACAAAAACTTAACTATAACCACTGAACCATGAAAATGAGGTCAAGGTCAGATGACACCTGCCAGTTGGACATGTACACCTTACAATCATTCCATACACCAAATATAATAGACCTATTGCATACAGTATAAGAAAAACAGACCAAAACACAAAAACTTAACTATAACCACTGAACCATGAAAATGAGGTAAAGGTCAGATGACACCTGCCAGTTGGACATGTACACCTTACAATCATTCCATACACCAAATATAGTAGACCTATTGGATAAAGTATAAGAAAAACGGACCAAAACACAAAAACTTAACTATAACCACTGAACCATGAAAATGAGGTCAAGGTCAGATGACACCTGCCAGTTGGACATGTACACCTTACAATCATTCCATACACCAAATATAATAGACCTATTGCATACAGTATAAGAAAAACAGACCAAAACACAAAAACTTAACTATAACCACTGAACCATGAAAATGAGGTAAAGGTCAGATGACACCTGCCAGTTGGACATGTACACCTTACAATCATTCCATACACCAAATATAATAGACCTATTGCATACAGTATAAGAAAAACAGACCAAAACACAAAAACTTAACTATAACCACTGAACCATGAAAATGAGGTCAAGGTCAGATGACACCTGCCAGTTGGACATGTACACCTTACAGTCCTTCCATACACCAAATATACTAGACCTATTGCTTATAGTATCTGAGATATGGACTTGACCACCAAAATTTAACCTTGTTCACTGATCCGTGAAATGAGGTCGAGGTCAAGTGAAAACTGTCTGACAGGCATGAGGACCTTGCAAGGTACGCACATACTAAATATAGTTATCCTATTACTTATAATAAGAGAGAATTTAACATTACAAATAATCTGAACTTTTTTTTCAAGTAGTCACTGAACCATGAAAATGAGGTCAAGGAAATTGGACATGTGACTGACGGAAACTTCGTAACATGAGGCATCCATATACAAAGTATGAAGCATCCAGGTCTTCCACCTTCTAAAATATAAAGCTTTTAAGAAGTTAGCTAACGCCGCCGCCGCCAGATCGCTATCCCTATGTCGAGCTTTCTGCGACAAAAGTCGCAGGCTCGACAAAAATTGCACATTCCACATGCATTAACAGACTTTTGGTCAGATCCCCTTCCTAATTGTATATATTTCCATGTAAATGCATTGTTTCAAATTATTAGTTAAAGTTGCTTAACTCTGTTTAATCTATATATCTTTTTAATGAGAAACAATGAATTTCATAAACATGATAAACAGACTAGTTTTTTTAATTGAATTTTAATTGATATATGCTATTTTCTTTTCCCTTTTGATATAAAAAAAAGTTTTTACTAGTGCTAGATATTTTGTTGTTAGTTTCTAACAAGAGGAAAAATATAATTGTGTTACTATAAATGAATATTTTAAAGACATAAACTAAAACAACTGTTACTTTTATTGTATTGTCAGGTATGAATATTAATTGAACAATATAAAAAAGAATTAAATAAAAAGGATACATATGGCATTTATTATTATTGTAAAAACCAAACATTGTAGTGTTGCAAGCAAACGAGCACTTCTCTTTTCGTCTCACCACTTCTCCCTATCATTTTCCAAAAGAGAAGTTACTTCTCCATATGATTCTGAAGTTGTGTGAGCCCTATAATATACTTAAGGAATATGTTTAAAGTACGAAACAGAGCATAATGAAATTATGTAGCCCACCACATAATTTATTATGTAAAAATCGAAACACCAAAATGAAATTAAGCTTTTTGCAGAATTTGGATATTTATGTCTGAATCATGAAACACTGTAATAGGTGTTTATGACTTTCATTGTTTCTGTTAAAATTAATCACAACTATGATATTATGTCAAAATACTTAAAATATATCAAAAATATAAATAATTTTATGCAATTTAAAAGAAAATTAATATCCAATTGTTACATCACTGTCCCAGGTTAGGAGGAAGATTAGGTGCCCACAAACATGTTTAACTCCTCCACATTCTGTATGTGCCTATTCTAAGTCAGGAACCTGCAATTCAATGGTTGTAGTTTGCTACTGTATATCATTTGTTTTTCGAATGTTGTTTTGTTCATAAATCAGGCCATTAATTTTCTCATTTCAATTGTTTAACATTTTGTTATGTCAGGGCCTTTTACAGCTTGCTGTATGGTATTGGTTTTGTTCATTATTGAAGGCAGTAAGGCAACCTATAGTTGCTAGCATCTATATCATTTTGTCTGCGGTGGATAGTTGTATCATTGGCAATCATACCACATCTCCTTATATTATAATAACTGAAAAACATGTATCTTTGATAAACACAACACGAATAATAGGTTGCTTACCTTCCATCTCATAAATACAAAATCTGTGTTCTTTAGTTCTTCATAATCAAAAGAATCAGAGTTAAAATTCTTAGCAAATGGATAAAAAGATAAAAACTTCCCCTGAAAGTAATAAGAAAATCAAATGATTATGATAAGAAAAAAAAGTATATATATAGCAATTACTAGGTGATGGAAGATGTCTAGGATAAGGACTAAATATTTTCGGATCTTTCAGGTCAATGATTTAAAAAAAAAAATACAATAAAATAGAACAGACAATATTAAGGGTTTAAAAAATCATGAAAATACCACACGTACATTGAACAGGTATGAATGCAAGTTTTCTCATTCATTAAAAATCATCATATTTACAATAATTACCCAATGTTTTCGGTCTACTTCCTCATCAGCCTCCCATTTCCTGGTAAGAAATGGATGTTTTTTACTGATTATCTCCCCTTCAAAGAATGTTGTCAATGTTGGGTATTCCTCTGTTAGTCCATTTATCTTCAAATAACCACAAAGGTAAGAATTGTCCATATCAACATACTGAAAAGAAAAATAATGTTGTATATTAGGCTACATCAAATTTATGTATTATTTCTTGGTTGCTTACTTAGTTACAAAGAACTAAAGCAGATTACCCTTATCAAATAAACCAACAGGTGAATCTTGCATTATATCTTAAAGCAATTTATTTCTTTTCCATATCAAATTTTGACCAAACATCATCTAACAAAGAGTTTTATTCAAACAGTTGTTGTTTTTAGGGGGTTGTCTTGCATTGATTTGTGAGCTGTTGAAGGCCTTACTGTGACTTTGGAATGAACAGACAGAAGAACAGTAATAACAGAGCATGGTTTTGGAAACTACATGCAGTGATTTGGTGATATGAATTAATTCACCATATCCATCTTCTAACATGTCTAAATTCAATTAAAATGGAGGGTAACGTAAATCATCCATTATTTCTGTTTGCCAATAAGTCGCTGTAGTCCTGGACTAGTTGAAATTAGACTGGACGAATTATTTTCTGAACAAATGAACCCCAAGCTCCACCAATTTTTTTTTAGCTTGGTCTGGAAATCATCATTTTTTATCTAAAAAATTGATATTCATAATTTTTATCTGATTTTTCCTCATTTTTGTTTTTACCAAATACTTAAGGTATATCTGAACCGATGGCACATTTGGCAGTGTTTACATCTAAAAAATATATAGTGTTGACAAACCTGTGAACATGGAAAAGTTTAAAGCATGGCTGAACAAAGATAATCATAGTTCAAATGCATTTCATTTTTTTAGAAAATTAAAAACATTCCTGGATTTTGATCTGAAACTATTTTCTGGTGTTAAAACAGCCATATTCAGCTTAAGTATAGCTGTAAAAATTATCTCCCTTTGAAAAATTTTGATGAAATTTTAGTTCTTCACTTTTTATTTGAAAGTGCAATCTCAAACATTTTAAAGAAATAAAATTATTTTTTTTGTGTTAAAAGTTGCCAGATTAAAGTAATAAAAACACTTCAAAAGTTTCAGCAGTACTTCTTAATTACATGACTATATATAAAAAAGAAGATGAGGTATGATTGCCAATGAGATAACTCTCCACAAGAGACCAAATGACACAGAAATTAACAAATATAGGTCACTGTACGGCCTTCAACAATGAGCAAAGCCCATACCGCACAGTCAGCTATAAAAGGCCCCGAAATGAATATGTCTGCAAAGTTTTTGTATGATTTTCCAAGTCAAAATTTTTAAATGGAGAACTTTTTTACAGCTGATTGAGCTATATATGTTCAAAATATGATGTACATGTACAGAACCTAATACTTGTCACTATGAACTTATGATGGACCTTTATCAGGTTTGGGAAATGTACAATTCTAGCTTTGTAAGACTATAATGTGTTATAAAAGCTCGATTGAGCTATACAAGATATCTCCTTTTGAAATTGCACTACAAGACAACAGGGGAAAAATAGGTAATTAATTTTTAAAAAATTGCCAAGGGAGATAACTTTGTATAGCCCAATTGAGTTTATATAGCCAGATCAAGCTATAAATTAAACATGTAACTCAGATAAACAGGACCTGAGGATAATCTAAGGCTTTGAGTATATTGATATTGGCTTTTATTTTTCTGTAAGACTTGCCATGGCCCAAAAATGACATGTGCTACTTATCTAAAAAAAAATGGCAGTGAGTAAACCCTAGTCCAAATAAATATGATGTCTTGAAAGACTATTATGATTTTTTGCTGTGATTTCGTAAGATGGTGTCACAGCAAAAAATTAAAATAGTCTTTCAAGACATTTCAATTATTTGTGAGAACCATTGTCCAATAAAAGGCAATATTAAAAAATGACCCTGTGAAAGGCTATTTTATTTTTTTGCTGTGACACCCTCCTACTTCATAGGTGTCACAGCAAAAAAATCAAGTAGCCTTTCAAGACGTCATAGTAATTTGGACTTTGAGAACTCTAATTACACTGTTACAAGTCTAATAGTAATATTTGAAGTAAACAAAAAGGTTTTAGAATTTACTATGGTTTTCAATACCTGTAAAATAACTTCTACGTCATAGCAATTTCCTTTGCTTTTCTGGTGTCCCTGAAACCTTGATCCATTGTACAATAGACTGGTTGTTATTCCAGGGAGGTTGCTATTAGCAGGAGGTGGTGGGTCAAGCTTTACCGGCATTGTTTTGGCATTCCTGTAAATTGCCCAAATGGACATTTCTTTCGATACCGGTGATTGGTCAGAATATTGTTTCCGGGGAACATTAACCAATCACAAACAGTTTAACATATTCGTTTAAAAAATGGCTGCGCCCATGAGAATTTATCATTCAACTGTCAAAACTTTCTTAAATGTATCAAATTCACACTGCACTTGTTCTGTGAGGAGATTTAACCCAAGAGGCATGTTCATTTTAATGTTAAACAAGGCTGAAAATTTGAAATCCGGTCGAATAACATGAATAAGAAAATAAGCTATCCCCTTTTTAGAAAATCAGTGATACTGATATTGTTAGTAATTCCTGTTTTCCTTTTTATGCGTTATCCTGACATTTTTTTCTAAAAAGAAAAACATCATCAGGTTGTTTGAATTTCGTTTGTTTTGCTTTGTGTAAATATTTATTTACAGACGGTTAGTATTTCTATGGGAACCAAATGAGCTCCTCTCGTTGTTTATTTTTTTGTATCATTTAAATCTCCGACCCAAAACAATCCAGGCCAAGGTCACTCTGGTCCTAAGTTAATCAAGATCAAGTGGATTTCAACCAGGTTGACCTGGCCCCTTTCTAAAAATCCTGCATGGGTTAATAAGGTTAAGTAAAACACTTCTGGTAAATGTTTAATTGAAGGTCATTTGAAATCTTAACATTTACCTAAATAGACAATTTTAAGTTGGAAAATAGGCCATGCCAGTATATATCAGCAAATCATGAAAAAATATTATCATTAAATTGAGCAGTTATAAAGTTTTTAAGAAAAGTCTCCAAGTTACATGTGTACAAGTAGCATGATCTTAGGGTCTGGCTTGAGAAAGAGCCAATAACATAATGGATACGATTGTTATTTAACTATACAGCCATAGTAAGATCTAAGACATGGAAATTTACTGATTAATCTTGATTATATTAACTACTGATTATGCTTGATTTATGATAACGGGTAATAAAGCAATAATAGTATTTACAAAGAGAATACAATAATTATCAACAGGAGTTCTCTTGAAAGCATACAATATGTAATTATACTGGTGGTCATCAGTGCTTTTGGTTGGGAAAGTTTTATTTAAAAAACATGATAAAACATCATATCAAAAATAAAGTATTTTGTGTTTGATATAATGTATATATTGTATAATTTATAGTCTAGTTGGAGGATTCATTTTTTTTTGTGTGTACTAGTTTTTGTGGATTGGGAAAAACATTTGCATTAATGGGATATTTGATTTTCTGGATTTGCCAAAGATTGCATACATATCACTAGAAAATTGATACTTTGTTATTGACAGGACATTTAAATTTGTGTGGTTTCCTGTTTACCTCTACCTACAACATGCCTGAACATTGGTTATGGTATGGTACCCAGGAAAAAATGATAATAGAGCATGTGCACGTTAAAAAAATGTTTTCTTTTTTTCTTTTAGAGTTGAAGAAATTTTACAAGAATGCAACTATAGCACAGTCAGATGGTATGAATAATTATTGAAAGAGGAAAAAGTTTTGTGTTATTATACTATAAACAATATGAATAAATATATGTTACCATTATCTAAAATAACTGTCTTGAAAGGGTAAGAATGAAAATTTTCAAAATTTGATACAAAGCATGTAAGAAATACTACAGAACTGGTTTCTTATTTCTATGGGCCAGTAATTTCTTGTTTTTTTCTATCGGCATTTCACTTCAGTGCTTCAAATTACAGGTATGAACAAATAAATGCAATATTGGGTATAACTCACAGAAGTAGCAACTTTAAACCCTTCATATCCAGGTGTACAAAATATTAAAAAAAATTGTTTACTATGCTTAATATAGAGGAATGATTAATTTAAACAACTAACAGTCATATGAAGCAGTATTTTTTATTGTATATTCATGTTCTTATTTAACACACTCATTTTGATAAATTGTTCAAAGGTTAAAAATTGTGTGATTAAAAGATTAGAAGATGTGGTAAGATTGCTGAAACCAAAGAACCAGGATGTAAACAACTATAGGGCACTCTATGGCCTTCAGCAATGAGCAAAATGGATACCTCTAGTGACCTAAATAGTAAGCTATAAAAGGCCCTGGCATAACAAAATGTGAAACTACTCAAAAGAGAAAACCAACACCTGATTTTTGTCAAGCCTGCAACATTTTTGTCGCGAAAGCGAGACATAGTGATCCTTTTTTGGTCATTGTAATGAGGATGGAATGGATTAAATTCTCAAGTTATGGAAACTAAATTTGGATCATAAAAATTTGGATTACAACTATCGTACTCAGACTTGGAATTCAACCAATCAAAATGCAGGATTAGGTGTTTTGAGCACACATTTTGTAATCTGAGTACTGAGTATAGTTTTATGACCGAAGGTACAGAGCTTCTGGAATGGGAAAAAGTTCTTACCTTATCATCAAATTGCATTGCCACAAATTTTATGCATATATAGGATGAGAACAAATTAACAATACCAGTATATTCATATATATGTACTGGTATGAACATATAATGTACAATTGTTAAATTTGGAAAAGTGAGTCAATGGAATGAAGGGTTGGACATTTAGACTACTTTATCAAAATGAGGTTATGTTGGATAGGGGCAGAAACTTTGTGTTGTAACAGGCGAACTACAATCTTTCACAAAATTGTTACAAGGGTTCTTATAAGCACAAAAAGCACGGAAGTATCTCTACAAGAAAAATATTGAAGATATTTTCTTGTAACACAATTGTCATCAATTGCTATATGTTTAAGTAAAGAAGATCATTCATATTTAGTAGAAATAATTAGTTATTTATAAGATCAGGTGAAACAGTGTTATGGGTCACATTTGAATAACATCAGTTCATTCAATCAAAATAATGTTTTGGTGTAGTTTTGCATAGATAATTTTCCTTTGTCCATTTACAAGCAACGGATCTGATGGTCTAGGTTTGTAAGAAATGTACCATCTGGAAACATTACACAGCCTCAACATTGTAAATTTTTGCTGATAATTATTTGGCAGATCTTGGTAATAAAAAATTGTTTATCGAACACTGAAATATTCTAACTTTTGCCAAAAAAAGGCAGTGGACAAAGCATTGTTGACTATTTTCTGGATTTTAATGCTATGCTCTACAACATTAATAAATCTTAAGTTTGTTTGAAAATATATTATGAATATGACAGCGGAATGGGATTTGCCAGATCTAAATGCAACATATTAGCAAATGGGAAATAATGAAGATTTAGTGATTCTACTATAAAATCTATAAATCTATACATAGTCATTTCACAGTACTAAATTAATTAAGTAATGTCTATACAAATGATTATGCTTAGTTCCTTGTTTTCTAGGCTGGTTTGAAATTAATTTAGACAAGAAAAAATTGAAGACACCAAATGGAAAGGTTTTCAAAGTTCCAAATGAGGCACTGGCTTTAGCTGTAGCAACAGAATGGAATTCGCAAGACAAAATAGTCAAGAGACATTACATGCATTTAGTAAGAGCACAGTTATAAGTACTGATGACATATATTATATGAATAATTATACCTTATTATAGCCCTTTAATGTCCACTAGTCATTTGGAGTTGATACTTAATATGATGCAGGTGCTACCTGTGAAAGATGATGAATTTTCAATTCAGGGCCTTTAATAGCTGACTATACCGTATGGGGTTTCTCATTGTTGAAGGCTGGTTGCCTATAATTGATTACATCCACTTCATTTGAACTCTGGTGGATAGTTGTCTCATTGGCAATCATACCACATCTTTTTATTATTATATGGCCCTGATAAACCTTTAACAACATGGCAGCAATAAAACATCTTTTTGTTTTTTGTTTTTTGTTTATTTTTATATGCATATAACTAGTGTGTTGCCATTATTCTTTTTTGGTAATAAGAAAAACTTAATATGTTCATTTTTTGTGCAAGTTATTAGTTTCTGAATAGTATGAGGGTAAACATATTGAAATTTTGTATGAATGGGAGGATTATATGTGGTAAGCTGTTCATGGCTTACCGTTTTTTTTTTTGAGCCTGTGGAAACGAGAAATAGTGATCTCTATTCCGTCGTCATCAGCAGCATCAACATTTAGGTACAGTCTGTGGTTAATAATAACAATAACTGTTTAACCCTCTTTTAATGTTATGAAATTTAGACAGAAGTTTTTTTAATTGCCAAAAAAACAATATCAAGAGTAAAATTTACCATATTTTTCTTATATAAAGAACTAATTTTTAGGCAGTTAAGCTGCCTTATGCTACCACCCTAGATTTGTGTTCTTCCCACAGAATGGCGAAAAAAGTGCTGTTATTATTATCTAGCTGGCTAATATGTTATTAATAACTAATTGGGCACTTTTTTCATACTTTTAATTCTGGAATACAAAAAATATGACCAGAAAAACCTTAAATGATCGTCGAACAACCCAAAAGTTTTGAAGTTGCACATAGGAAGTAGTGCTCAATAGAATTTCGTATGTAGTTTATTTTCCCCTGTGTTTTTGGCTAAGATGTCAAAGAACAATTGTATGAAATATTTAATCGTCGAAAAACTCTAAAGACAAGTCGTTTACTTTTCCCAAATGGCAAAAGTCGTAGGAATATTGTTTGTCGTCGATACGTATTAAATACGTCAGTAGTCTATTAATAAGTTGGCGGCAATTTCAAATTAGAAGACGAAATTTACGTATCTTTTAAATTTGGAGGATTCTGATGATAGAAAGGTAATTATTGTTAATCATGATATTCTTTTTGTTTGAGATGAGTGTTAATAAATTGTGTATTCACATTTGGATTTCATTCTTTTGTATTACTCCGTTTTTCACATAAATGACCTTGTCAAGTAATGCACCAACATGGTGTTTACACTTGTTGAATAAAACCGGAAATCAAGAAGGTCTCACTAATTACCGACAAGAAGATTGTAGAGACAATAAGCGACAAGAAGATAAAACTTAGCGACAGGAAGAATGAATTTGCGATAAGAAGATAAATTTAGAGACAAGAAAGTTTATACACTGTTAGAATAATAAATTTATAGAAAAGTCAATTAATTACAGTTGATTATTTTCTGTTGTGTGAAGTTTAAAATTATGTTACATTTAGTAGCCGTCCGTACTTCTTGACGCTTCTTGTCGTTTCTTGTCGCTAAGAGACCTTGTAAATATGTCAAACTTGCCGAGACTGACAGTAGTATGTGATATACATGTATATGGATTTTAGACTCAGAAAGATCGTGTGATAATAGAAAGTCACAAGAAAATGTAGAAACCCCATTCATATATCACTGTATACAGGTACGGATGTCCGAAAAATGTATAAAATCAGCGAGAATCAAAAAAGAGCAAATGTGAATATAGGAAATATATGCGGATAAAAGAATTCGGTCTAGATCACCTTGATCTTGACATGAAGCCAGTGTCCTACTCTCAGGCACTTGTTTATATCCATGGGAAGATTTAGGAGCTCAAAATATACGTTGATATTGGGTCTTCCCATGCAAAGAAACAAGTGCATGTGGTCAGACTTTGACATTTCAATGTTTACGATATTTTTTCTAAACCAGGACTTTTTTATTTCTGGCCAATCTGGGCCTAAAAAAATCTTCATCTATGGCCCATTTTAAAGAAGATATATCTTTCAAGAAGTGTAAAGTCCAAGAATGTTTTACCAACCGTTTATTTATTCCAATATTGATATAGATCTCGAGTAACATCATGGACTTGGAGGGGCGGGTCAAGGCAGGTCAATCAGACCTCACCTTTGACTCCTGTTATAGTTTGATTGTCTGATTTGTGTCATACATTTTGTACTGTAGAACTTAAATTGAACAAACTCAGTGTTCTCCACAGGGAAGCAAGTCAACGCACACTATTGCAAAGTTGTACCATGCCATTTAACTTATACCACTAAAAGTCAACTCAAATCAACATTAACCACTAAATTTTAGAATTCACAATATAATTCTGTCGGATAGACCTATCAGAGACCATGTGTCAACTTACAACAGAGGCAGACTAGAGCATACTATATTAAATGACATGTTCATTGTATGTATAAAATTGAATGAAAGAAATAAAATTTAACATAATTTTATCTCTCTGACACTCTAACTGCTCATCTTTTTTATTTTGTCGAAAATCAAACTTTGATCTGACCCTTAAAAAAAGAATATCCCATGCAGTGGCGGATCCAGAACTTTTCATAAAGGGGGGGGGGGGGGGGGGGGGGGTGCGCTGACTGACCTAAGGGGTGGGCCCCGCTCCAGTTATGCTTCAGTGATTCCCTATATAATCAACCAAATTTTTCCCACAAAAGGGGGGCCAGAGCCCCCCCCCCCCCCCCCCCCCTTGATCCGCCTATGCCATGATCCCATAATGATTTCTTTTCAAATTAATTGACAAAACTTGTGTAAATATAATTTATCATGATTGTATATATTCTAAATAAACAATATAAATATTTGTATTTGTTTTTATTTTAGCTAGATTCCAATTCTTGGCTTTAATATCCTAGAAGTGACAAGACATGCATGTACAATACATGATACTATCTAGTAGCTGCATTGACTAGTCATCATAATAATTCCATGACAGCTATGAAATTCTAGACCTTTTTGATGTTTTAAATATAGTTATACATGTATGACATGTTTATCTACAGATATGATCGAAGTACATGAACTATGAAACTTTTTACCAGGTCTTATCATATGACGACTAGTCAGACAAATTTTGGTTCAGATTTCTGACAGGAATTTTTACAAAATTGCCAGGGGTTACAACACATGAATATTATTTTCATGGAGTTTACTGTAACCGTCCAGTTATTTTTAGAGGCTGTCTAATGATATGTCTGTGCAACTGTTACTATAAAATGTGGGAGATACATCGTATAATATGCACACTATTAATATATATATACAAGTAGTAACCCAGGTATCAGTTATATAAAGATAGTTTGAATACATATACATAATACATAATGATGATACAATGTGCAGATACATGAAATATGTTTTATAAAGTATGTAAGAAATGAAGAATATAAACATATTAAAAAAGACAGGCACAATGTTTGTATGAAATTTGATGTAAATGTAATAGGTTGGACACTTAGAAGTACAATAATCATGTAAAAGAAAATTAAAAGCATTTCTAGCCCAACAATATAATCATTTTGTGTAATATGATATGTGCATGATAAACAATAAAATTACACCACCTCACATTGTTCCCAGTATTATTGAATCAGTTTTTGTAAGGATTGACACCTGCTGATCTGACTAAAAATGCTAATGTGGCATATGAAAACTCTTAGTACATATGGAAACTAAACTATACACCACTGTAGTGTATAAAACCTTAATTCTGACGACATTATTGCTGCATAAGTTAAATTCATTCATCAGGGTATTGAGAAGTTGATAGAAATAAGCATCTGTATGTCACATACGGCCTGTAACAATGAGCAAAACTCGTACCACATAGAATGAAGCTGTCAATTGCCTTGAAATGACAAATGTAAAACAATTCCAACAAGCAAACCAGCATCCTGATTTATGTACAAATCAATAATGAAAAACAAATATGATATACAGCAACAAATGACAACCACTGAATGACTTCGGACAGACACACACGTAAGCTGGCAGGGTTAAACATGTTTACTGGCGCCAACCCCCCCCCCCCCCCCCCCTTACCTGGGACAGTGTACATACATCTTCACAGACTTTCAATCATCGAAAGGATACATATTTTAAAGTAATTTAAAAATGAATAATAAACGTTTGAAAGCAAATGTTATATTGTTAGCGAAAAATGTGTAGGATAGTGAAAATCAGTACAGCACATGACAAAAAACAAATCTGAAAAATGAGATAAAACAAGCTATGACAATTTAAGCAACACTGCCACAGTTTTCATCATATTTTTGATTAACTGCCTATAGCGCTTACAGTGCTTTGATTTTTTACAATTTAACATTTATGTACAGCCTAAGGTTGAAAGTTTTTCAGTCATCAATAACTTTGTCAAATCTTCAAAGAATTTTACATGAATAAGACAGAAGCTTTTTTATGAGCAAAAGACATTATCCAGGGCAAAATAATCAAATTATTTTTCTTAGTTTTTCCGTATTTTACAGTTAAAAGGACTTGTTTTTTTTTTACATTTAACATGTAAATACAGTCTGGTGTTACACTTATAGGCATCAATTTCTTTGTCAAATCTTCAGATTTTATGAAACTTTGGCAGATGGTTTTATATGATTAAGAGATAATTTCCAAATCAAAAATTGTGAAAATACAACATTTTTAAAAATTTCTCAATATTGAAAAGCCACTGAATTTTTATTTTTGAAGAAAAGAAAAAGCCAGCTGGTATGAGTTCTGTGTTAATCACACTTTTTTAATGGATGTTATATGATAAACTGTGAGGTCACCCCTAATCATATGAAATGTTTGTAATATAAATAAGGCTAATTTCGAATTGGATTGCATATTTTAATAACAATACACATTTCAAACTTTGTTCTGTTTATTTTAGACATCAATGTGTAATACAGCATTAGATAACCCTACATATAAATCAAGAGAAGATTTAGTTCGAAGTGCATTGCATTATGTAGAGACAGACACATTATGGTATGTTATATGTTAATTATATACACTGTTCGGTGTGAGCCAAAGCTCTGTGTTGAAGACCGTACTTTGACCTATAATGGTTTACTTTTATAAATTTTGACTTGGATGGAGAGTTGTCTCATTGGCACTCATACCACATCTTCTTATATCTATTATGAAAATTTTCAGAATTACTGTCTATGCAATTCTCTAAATATATAAATTGGAAATTGTTTGTCTTGGATATAATAAACTGTGGATTCCTTTATTTTCGTGGATACCAATTTTTCTTGGATCGAGGAAAACTTGTATTTTCGTGGATATTTGATTTTGCGGATTTTCAAAAGTCTGTATACAAACCTAAAAAAATTGTCTACTTCCTTGAACAACTAAATTCGTGGTCCACCTTTAATCATGAAATCCATGAAAATTGGTATCCAACGATTAATAATGAATCCACAGTAAGTACACAAATATAAGTGTTCCTACTGTCTGAACTATATAAGTATGTCACATACATTCTGGGTACTCTATATGGATTATTTAGAAACTATAGCTAATCCTGTACATATCAAGACTCCAAAAATGGTCATATTTTCCAGTCGTGACTGATTCTAAGAGGCTCATGACTGACATTTATTTTTTGATCTAGGTCAAGAGAAAAAATTGATTGAAATTGAAAATTAACCAAGATCAGACATTATTATCAATGCCCTTTTGTCAGAAATTGCATTATTTTGTTAAAGGTTACTAAGTTTTTATTGCTATTCTTTTCCAGTAATAAAACTGCCACTTGATATTGTATGATAATCCACAGGGCCCTACAAATTACTGTAAAATACCCCTGCAGATATCAGGTTAATTCATGGTTATCAAGTACAGATGATTTACTAAATATGGGGTAACCTTTCAGCAATAATGCAAACTTTCACATTTTTGTTCCATCATTCAGCGGTAAACCCCATCATAAACTACATAGAATATAGAATCAAGTTTTTGTTTCCAGCACATAATTGTGTGTGAAGTACAATAATACTGTGTCAACTGTCTCTTCTGATATACAAACTGTACATGTGTTTAATGTTCCTGTGTTGAGTTGTAATTGCATCATGCTGTACACAGCTGAGTTCATTATTTTGCACAACTCATCTCCCTTGACCAAATTATAAACTCAAGACTATAATTCGGGTATACATTTTTTATTTCTAAAATATCAAAACAAAATAAGATGACTTTTATGCATTTGTATGTCCAAGAAAATGGTTTGTTCTAATGGATTAAAAAAAACTGACAATAAACCTATCTTTTAAAACAAAATATAAATTAAGTGAATAATCAATGTACAGGTATATGCTCAGTCAACACATTAATTTGAGAGTGTTTATCTACTGAATTTTGATACATAAGATTTTTTATCAATAGTGTCATAAATGTAATGTGAACACATAATGTAGTTACAGATTGGATGAACCAGAAGATCTTGCCAAACTTGAGAAAGTATGTTGGGATCCTATTCTTGATTGGGCAAGGAAAAGGTAAGCACCACAGCCGTACAAATATTCTACAAGAATACTACCAAAAGTCTATTTTCAATGGTACTTTTTTTTACCTATATAAATCAATTTTCGTTGAAATCCTAACTCAAAAAGATGTTACTCAAATTTTGTAATTTTTGGACAAAAACAAAGGTTTTACTGCATTTTTTTTATCCCATTTTCACAAAAACCCTCTTATAGTAATAAAATATAAAAACTTTGCATTGAAATTATAGAAACAATTTTAGGTTATTTTGACTTGTCATCTGACACATAAAGTAGTTCCAGTTGCAGATTACTTTAGTGGGCCATAATAAGCTCCTGACCAGGGCTTCCAAAATTATTTTTAGCCAGCCGGACATTTTATATATTATCCCGATTTTAATCCCTTCAGACTAAATAAATAAAAGGCAATTATGGTAATCAGTTGCCGAGTTGGCCATCCCAATGATTGACATTAAAAAAAAAACGATATAAAACTTTCTTTGATTCAAATTCGAAGTTCTGACGTAAACTGTTAAATTGGCAGTGCATCATTCGAAGTGTGCAACATCAGCGTACTTATATCTGCATAGACTCTTTATTTGTGCAAAATAACGTTGTCAAAAACTTTACTTTCGTTTTTAAATCTAAACCGGATGTTATCTTAACAAGGGTAAAACATGGACCAGAGACGGATACATAAATTCCGTGTACGTTTGCAAAGCATGAATGAGTGTAAGTAGCTCTTTCTACGTTATTTCTTCAAAAAAATATTCGAAATAAACGTGAGATAAAGGTATCAATGACAATTTAAGCATTTTTTGAAGAAATTAGGATGCATAATTAAATTTCACACCTGCGCACATGCGCACACGTGTACTAGTTCAAACAGAGACATGTCTCTGGTTCATTCAAACAACGTGGTTATGACGATTTTTCATTTTCACCTTTTTAATTTTTTCATCAAATCATATTTGTAAACGTATTTCTGATAATTTAATCTTTTTAACTAAATTAATTAGATGCAAACCGCTGAAATGTAAGAAAATAACTTTGAATAGACCGATCAATGTCCGGTTCAAAATAGTTTACCTGTCACCTGAACAGGTAACTTCAGCTGTTCGACAACTAATTAGCCTTGATTAAAATGAGAAGGTATTAAAGTAGGGGGGTTGTTTTGATAGTACTTAATGATCATGTCACTTTTATGACCGGAAATGTGTGGCTGTTAAAGGCAAAAGGTTGGGTCAAAAAGATCGTGAATTATGTTAAAATGACCGTCTCTTAAGCCTTGAAAACTAAAAAGTAGATGTCCGTTTCATGCTTTGCCCAGCCGGACTTTTACCGGACATTATACAAATGTCCGGAATATATGACCGTTTTGGAAGCCTTGCTCCTGACCAACATTTCACATATCAATTAAGTTTACATAATAGGTCAGTCATTGGATACAAAATGACCCAAAGCCACTAAAATTTATATGAGGATGCATTCTTTTAGCTTACTTTCAAAAGCAGATCACCCTTATCTCATTAACTTAAGTCATGTTGTATATAGGAGTTCCAACCAGGGATACCAAATGACATACGATCATGTAATTTGTTGCTGTAGTAAGTTTTTAAATTGATTGTTAAATTTGTAATTATAGGTAACCATGTTCATAACAAGGAGTTATAAAACTAACATTAATGAAAGGATGTAGTGTTTTAATGATGAAAATATATTATAATTTATAGATATGCTATTGAAATAGAATCCACAACAGGTCTGTTACCACCTGAAGTGCCATCCAGTACATACAACAAATTAAGGAGACATTTATTATCTTATGGTGACTGGGCATTATTTGGTAAGTTTATTGTCTCAGTGGTATGAAGAGCTGGTAAACATTAATTTGCACAAATTGGAACCGAAACAACTTAGTATTGTAAATACAATAGTTCTATAATCCAGAGTTACATGTACTGCATTTAGTTTTAAGGTCACGAATTAGATTTTTGTACAACTCAAAATGGAAACCTGAAAACTTACCTGTAAAAGATTATTTCCAAATCATGCATATTTTACTTATACTCATGTGAATAGAAAAGATGTTGTTAAAATGAGACAGCAACCCAACACAGTTAAAACAAAAGACATCTAGAGGTCAACATAGGGAATTGAATAAAAGACAGTTGTCTATACAATATTCGGTGACTAGATCTATAAAAGTTGTAAATTTACTTGGTTTCACTATATATGCTAAGTATGTTTTATCACATATCTGTGAAGACAATTCATTTATTCACATGATGGCTCAAATTTATCTAACTTCTATCAGTTACATAGGAAATGTACAGCACTTGCACTTGAATATAATAAAAATATAAATGATGATATTTGTGAATTCAGATTGACAAATAGCATTTCATGTTACTGAATAAAAGACAATATGTATATATACAGGACACAAAGGACTGTAAAGGTTTTTTTTCTTGTAGGTTTTTTATATGGTACAGAAAACTTGAAATCATTGATTTTAATGTTGGCTTTGGTAGATAAACATATAGATGTAAAAACAGCTGTAACCTTATCTAGGTTGGAACAAAATTTTCAGGTAATAATATTGAGAATGGAAATGGGGAATGTGTCAAAGAGACAACAACCCGACCATAGAGCAGACAACAGCCGAAGGCCACCAATGGGTCTTCAATGCAGCGAAAAACTCCCGCACCCAGAGGCGTCCTTCAGCTGGCCCCTTAACAAATATGTATACTAGTTCAGTGATAATGGACGTCATACTAAACTCCAAATTATACACAAGAAACTAAAATTAAAAATGATACAAGACTAACAAAGGCCAGATGCTCCTGACTTGGGACAGGCGCAAAAATGCGGCAGGGTTTAACATGTTTTTTGAGATCTCAACCCTCCCCCTATACCTCTAGCCGATGTAGAAAAAACAAACGCACCACAGCACGCACAGTAAAACTCAGTTTAAGAGAAGTCTGACTCCAATGTCAGAATAGGAAACAAAAGAAAATAAACAAAATGACAATAATACATAAATAACAACAGACTACTAGCAGTTACTGACATGCCAGCTCCATACCTCAATTAAACTGATTGAAAGATTATGTCTTCATCATATGAATATCAGGCACAATCCCTCCTGTTAGGGGTTTAGTATTATACCATCATAAAATATATGAGAAGAACATAACCCTTGTCATGCCATCAACTGGTTTTAGAATAAATATGTTTAATTCCGATGCAAAGACCCTATAAGTGAATCAATATTAAAGCCAAAATATACAATCTTTAATGACCTGACAACAGTATCGTAACTATATCCCTTCTTAATAAGTCTGTTTAAAGGTTTTGTTAGCTTTTGAGGTGAATACTGACATTTTTGTGCTTTGTAAAGAATATAACAATAAAAGATTGGATGTAAAATACCCGAACGTATAAGATGTCTGCATGTTGAGTTATATTTACGAATGATGTCCTTATACCGATGATAAAATTTATTAAATGTTTTGACAAGTTTATGATATTGAAAACCCTGGTGTAATAATTTTTCAGTAATACATAAATTTCTCTCGCTAAATTCTAATACGTTGTTACATACACGAGCGAATTGTACAAGTTGAGATATATAAACACCATAAGATGGTGACAAGGGAAAGTCACCATCTAAAAATGGATAATTAACGATAGGAAATGAAAAATCATCTCTTTTATCATAAATTTTTGTATTAAGCTTCCCGTTTATGATATAGATATCAAGATCGAGGAAAGGACAGTGGTCATTGTTAGTATTAGCTTTATTTAAAGTAAGTTCAACAGGATAAATTTCTTTAGTATACATACTGAAGTCGTCATTATTGAGAGCCAATATATCATCCAAATATCTAAAAGTATTGTTAAATTTTTGTATCAGATGTTGTTTCGATGGGTCTTTGCTGATTTTAGTCATAAATTGTAACTCATAACAATACAAAAACAGGTCCGCAATAAGTGGTGCACAGTTCGTCCCCATTAGAATTCCGATAACTTGACGATATACGGAATCTCCAAAGCGAACAAAAATGTTATCAAGTATATTAGGTGGCAGTAAAGAAGGATAAAGTATCAAGGGAGACTATATTTTAACCAAAGATTTTATAATGTCTAATGATACATTTTAAAGATATATTATGGTAAAAACCTGTGGAATATACATGCCCATAGTCAGTAGTCACATTTTATGCCAGTACATGTACTTGAATACATTATTTTTATTTTTGCATAGGTACAAATACAGAAAATATGGCAATTAGACAAATCCTTGTTTTGAGGAAAGTGTTATAAAACTACAAGCATCTTCTTAAACTTTCATGCTACATAGTTATAAAACTGATTCTCTGATCAAAATTTTCTTATACTTTCAGACAACAAAATGGGGTAATGTGGAGTGGTATCATGACCTTGACATTGAAGAGTTACACACCAGAGTAGCAGCAGCTGCATTGTTTATATATTGGTCTAGTGAATCATCATCAATTATACAGAAAGCTGCTATAGATTTTTAAATCAATAAAATTATAGTCAAAATAATAAAAACTGTTTCAATATTTAGTTTTATTAAGTAAATTTAAAAAAAAAATTGTTTAGGGTTCTTTAGAGTATGTCAATGAGACCTCGCTGTGTCTGGAACCATTAGTCTATACTATACACAAAAATTAAAACTTCCCTCGTTAACTGTGCATGTGCTGCCTTCCAAAATCTGTGCCATACATTCAGATATATGAACTTTGGATTGTTGTGCTTTACCCTATATATACCAAAGTTCAAGAGTTTTTGTCCGTAATCGGTAGTTAACATCAGGTGGTCTAGTTTCCAATATTGAAAATGCTGTTAAACCCAGTGTGGAGATCATAGAAAGTATCCTTATGCTTGCAGGGTATGCTTTTATATTATATCCCCTGTCTAGGAGTGGGGCTATGTTGCATTTACCTTGTCTGTTCATTCTTCGAACAAATATTTCTTTCATACCTTTCTCAGGTACTGCTGAACAAAATGACTTCATATTTGGTCAGCAGCTTGTCAGTGATGAGTTGTAAGGTGTGAGCACTTTTAGAATTTGTCAGAATCCTTCTTTTGGATTTTTCAATATGTTGATTGAAAATCTTTTTCGTCACACTTCTCTCAATTACTAAACAAAATGACTTCATATTTTGTCAGGAGCTTGACAGTGATGAGCCAGTCTGTCAGCCATCTATTTTTCAGGTTTTCTTATATCTAGCGAGGGTACACTTAGCACGTCAAGGTGTACATTCTTGTTTGTAAAGTTATTGTGTATCTAGTTCTAAGGATAGATTTTTAACCGGATTTTCAAAGGAAAAATCGGTTATTGATTTGGGGATGTATGGCGGGCGGGCAGCTGCCAAACAGTGTCCATCATTAACCTGAAAACGCTTTGACGAAATTTTTTCAAATTTAGATATGTTGTTTCCTGTGGCTAAATTAAGGTCAAGTTAAATTTTCAGGATTTTAGCTTTTCTCATTGTTGAGTTATATCCCTTTCCAATAGTCAAAAGTGATACTTATTATGCGATTGAGTTATTTCCCTTTGAACAGAAATGGTGAATTATATATATAAAGTTTGATTACACTTACAGATAAGTTTTATAGATTTTTAAAAGACATTGTATTAATGATGAATGACATTTTGGATTTTTTTTCCGTTTCTTTGGTAAATTGTTTGAAGAATTTTGTGGTAGGTTTATTTGTTATTCTGTATAAACTAATTTTCTGACTGCTATATATCTTTTTTTTTATGAAGTGAACTCCTTTAAAAACTAAGCTTATATTGTCTATTAATAAACATATATTTAGATTTCTGAATTTGGTTTAATTTCATCAAAAAATGAATTCTTGTAGTTCTTTGATATGCTGATTCTAACAATGTTTTAGTGGTTAAATCATATCTAATTTTATTGATTATAATTTGAAAATATATAACATCATATCTAATTTTAGAGAACTATTTGTTTATTGTTTATTCAGTTTGAGTTATTTCCCTTTGAACAGAAAATTAATAAGTATATGGATAACATTAAACTGTGTTTCATTTCAACATAAATTAAATATATATAGGGTTCTTTCAAATGCTGAATCTAAACCTGTATTTAAATATTGGAGTTTTGGGCCCAGTTTTCAAGTTGGTTCAAAATTAGCTTTGTTTGATTTCATCAAAAATTGAATTTATTGGGTTTTTTGAAATGCTGAATCTAACCATGTATATTTTTTGTGTATTTATATATTTTCTTTTTTTTTTGCCAGTTTTGTAATATCAAACTTGTTATGCAGTCTATCTAAATTAAATGCCCTGTTCATATGTTATTTCCTGCCAAGTGATGGAACATACATTTTGATGTACCCACTACCCAATGGTCGTTCTCATGTTTGTATTGCTTCTATATTGCAGTGAGATTGTCCGGCATCTTATGAAAGTATTTGAAAGATTTATTTGTCTGATATAGTTAATAATTGGTTGATATTACACTGCATTTTTTGCTCCATGTTGAAGGCATCGCTATGACTTTGAGATGAGGAGCCGAAATAACAGATCTGTTCCTTTGCCTCTAGTTTTGCCTTGTGCATGTATGGATTTTATGTTATGAATTCATACTTTTCTCCATAATTTAAAAGAACTAGCACAGCCTCTGATATACAGATAAAAGAAAACATTGACTCATAGTGTTGTTCTTGTGTCTTATTTGGTTTGTTTTCTTAAAATGTAATTGATTCATGTACAAAATATTTTCAATTTATAATATATACTTTCTGAGCTACACAACTAGTCCACAAACTTAAAGACAGCTGGAAATAGGTCAAGGGCATATGATTTCATGTCCGGGAACATTTTTTCCTCCCACCTAACTATCCAAATATTAAACATTCTTGTTCTATCATGCATATTTACTGAGGAATAGACATCATCCTGAAAACTTAATTTTATTTCTGAAGAGTGGATTAAATGTCAAGACATATGTCAGACAGGTATATACTACTTGCAACCAAATCACACAATATTGTTGATTTACCATGTCATACGGAGGAACAAACAATCATGACCTTTGGGATGTAAACTTAAGGTAAAAGAGGTCAGACAGACAAAAACACCTCATAATCAATCTGTATACTAAATATTGATGACCCATTATGTATAGTTATTGAAGAACATAGTTCTTCCTGAAAACATATAATGATTCTTGAAAATGAGCTCAAGGTCAGGTGAGAATGACTTGCTTTCAAGGTCTCATCATGGCTAACTCCATACAAATTTGGATAATCTGAGCTGGATAAGATATTGATATAAAAATAATGTGTGGTATGATTGCCAATGAAACAACTCTCCACCAGAGACCAAATGACATAGAAGTTAACAACTATAGGTCACTGTACGGCCTTCAACAATGAGCAAAACACATAGTAAGCTATAAAAGGCCCTGAAATGACAAATGTAAAACAATTTAAACGAGAAAACTAACGGCCTAATTTATGTATAAAACAATGAACAAAAAACAAATATGATATACAGCAACAAATGAAAACCACTAAATAACTGTGACTCTCCAATTCTGGAACAGGCACATACAGAATGTTGGAGGGTTAAACGTGCTTAAAGGTGCCAACCCTCCCCTAACCTGGGATAATGGTATAACGACACAACATAAGAACATATGCAAAACAATAAACGAAAAACAAATATGAGAAACAGCAAAAAAACAACTTCTCAATTACAGGCTCCTGACTTAGGACAGGCACTTATAGAATGTAGCTGGGTTATTTGCAAATTGTCTCACTGACCATATGTTTTCTTCACTGACGAAACAAAAACTATAGACAATAACAGAGACTTATTGTTTTTTGGACTAAAATAACATCAAGATTTTGACAAGTTCTTTAGACATCTGATCTAAGAGATGAGATACCACTGTAATTTGTGAGAAATAATATGTATTACCTATTTATTTCAACAAATGATCATAGTTATTATACTTTTTAATATTTGCAGATGTAATTTTTTATGACCAAATGAGGATCAGCATTCAATGAAACACTGCAAGTCCTTGTCTATATATTGTGCACTTTTTGATTTCAGAAGTTCACTTATTTTAAAATAACACCTAATGTTTTGACATTAAATCATAATCGTGACACAGACCAGAATCTATAAAAATCAGCAAAAAGAATCGCCTTAAATAGATATTGTATTGTAATTTATTTACAGTAAATAAAATATACAATTTACAACTAATAATTTTATCACAGTTAGCTCTTAATTTTGTTCTCTGTACATATTCTGTGAACAAAATGTTCCAGTTTTCCAGTACGACTGTATATAAAACATCCTTTCAAGTTTCTGCAGGCAGAATGTTACTAAGGAAAACATTTTTTTGCCTTTAAGCAAACACATTAATTTTAAAAATGAGAAATGATGAAATAACTTTCAATGAAAAGAAATGAAAAAGAGGATGTGTGTAGACCTCTTTAGAGAAATAGTTTCCTCTTGAGAGAAATAGTTTCATAGCAATGCAGCATTTTAAAAGTCGGTTTAGTATCCTCCAGCAGTACCCACTTCCAGATTGTCTATTTCATCCCGTAAGTGGTCAATCAGATGATTAATTTCCACAACACGTAACCTGTTCCTCTGAATTTCTTCTTCCTCATGTATTTTTTCTAAGAGTCCTTTCATCCAATTATTCAGTCTGGTCATCATATCTTCTTCTTTATTGTCTATTTTTAGTAAATGATAGTCATGTGACGTTGAAATAGCATTGATGATTGTATCTTTATCAACAAACAGCTAAAACAAATAAAAAAGGATAAATTCTGTATAAGTAATCTATTATCATATTAATTTCAGTCTCTTAAAGGTAGGTATATTTACACCTGACACTATTTAACCAGTTTTCTTGTAAGTGGTCAATTCCAATTTTTACATAATCAACAGCTTTGAAAAAAGGTCAGTGGTTGAATGCTCCAGTGAAACCAAGTTAAATCAAAGGTTAAATCATCTGAATGAAACAGTTTCACCTGAACAATATAGATCTTGTTTGAATAGTAGTTGATAAAATTCAGACTTCACTGTTGAGTTGCAAGAAAACTGATTATCTTTTACATGGTTTCTGCTATAAAATACAAATGTAAAACAAAATATTGTGTTGAGAAAATAGATAAATTATGTGAAACAATTTTATAGTAAAGTGACAAATTTGACATAGTAATTGTAAAGAGTTTAATGAATAGGCCAGGGTCAATATTACTTCTAAGGTCTATAGAAAAAAGTCTAGATGTTTCAGTAATAGGTGGTGATGGGTTGTTGTTTCTCATAGAAATGTACCATACATCTCATTTTATTCAAACATATTGAATGAAACAAAACTTGAATTAATTCCTACTTCAGTTCTATTTGTTTTAACTTGCATCAATAAAAATCAAAATCATTCTTTAAACAAAGAGCAAATATCTTTTCAAATTACATTGCCAGTTCTAAAGTATTTATTTATAAATAAACTGGTCACAGACAGACAAAAAAGCATGGTTTTCGACTGATTTTGTTTGAAAG